CCTGTTGAATCGATACACCCAGCCTTCTACAAAATTGATAACTACCTCCTTTCTTTTGCCTATTTTCATTATCATTCTCTTTCTTCGTCTTTGGCCAGGCGGACTGACCAGAAATACTCGGACAATATATCACTTTAAACTTTACTAATGCATCACTGCGCATTTTATTGCGGATTGTCATTAATGTGAAATTACGATTGCGTCGAGTGTCTCTGATTTAATTCGATTACATGAAAATACATTACTATGGACACGGTATTTATTATTATCTCTCTCTCGCACGTGCGCGCGCGCACGTATACAAACAGAAATTAGTAAATTATTCAAGGTGAAAGCCAATTAATTAATCATACGCGTATATTTACAAAATAGTTAATTATCAGCTTAAGCTATTAAATCTTTGGAATTGACGAATTGCTTGGACAATTGCATGATTTTTCATAAGCCGATAATATTAAGGTCGCGTCGCTGCAAGCTTACATAATAATAATATAAAATTAAATGATATTTTTCAACGATTAATTCTTTTCGCACTAACGGCCTCGCCCCAGTCTGCATAAATCAGACCGGGAAAACCTGTTGCTTTCGGGACATTCGCTCATTGTGCTTTAAGCGGCGAACCTGTTGCACAATATTTGGAGAGCCGGGGCTGAAAAAGTATCATTGGAGCAAGACGAAAAATCGGAGCCCAGGGTACATGGGGCTCTCTCATTATGATTCTTTAGCTACAGCCGCTTAGGCTCCGTCAGAGCGAGAAACCACAAATGAGGGGAGGATCCCAGCTGCCGCGCCCACTTGTTTGCTCAGGGTGACACTATATTCATACCTGTTTAGTCGCTCTGGGGTGGTTCCTCGTTCGGCTACACTGAGACTGAGAGTGTGTGAAACTGTGACAGAGTGAGTGAGCGAGTGAGCGAGCGATTGGCAGGGGGAAGAGGGGCACACACTCCCAAATACAGGCACGCAAGGCTTATTTTTCATTTTCGATCAATTCGCTCGACTCATGTCACTCGGCACACTCGCTAGGACGACGATCATCGAGCCTCAGCGTGACTTCGCGTCTTCTCGCCAGCTTTATTCCTCCGCGTGTCTTTCTCTCACTTGCTTCAAATACATTAACGATTGAGTATATCAAATTTCGATTTTGCTCGCTGGCTTTGGTGTACACGCCTACTTTTACCTTTGAAGCTCGATATTTTTACACGTTGTACTATAAGAATGCACGATTCGAGTTTCACGCTCAAGACCGTTAATTTGCTTATTGAGGGGAGGGATTTTCTCACTCTCACTCTCTCTCTCTCTCTCTCTCTCTCTCTCACTCACTCACTCTCTCTCTCTCTCTCTCTCTCTCT